GCTTGTACTATGGGTACTAGACAACTGATATAAATACATTTATAATTTTTTTTTGTAAAACATATATATTATACATAGAAACACCATGACCAAAACAAATATTAAAAGTTCATGCACACAAATGTTTGACTTGAGTGGGAGTCAAACCCGCGACCTTTGGATTAGTAGTCCGTTACACAAACCACTACGCCATCTGGTCCTCAGCTTTGAATCCTTCATATAACAAAACTTGCAATCAAGGTGTCTTTGACCTTACATAGTGAGCGGTGGGTATTATTAATATCTGAAACGTCTTTACAGAGACAGATTTAAATGAAATTTTATAAAGTTTTCCTTTGATGTTAGAAATCATCCTGGAGGAATTTCTCATATATATTTTGAAAAAATCGAAATTACTAATTATTCCATTGTTTTCATAAGTAAATTACCATGCAGAACGAAAAAAAAAGCTAAAGTGAAATCCCACGCAGCCAAGCAATTTTCTCTTCGTAACTGAACAAGCCATACCAATTTCATAACTTCGCGGAACAGTTTCATAGTGTTTAGAACTCAAGCATGACTTAGTAAAGGGCAAGAGCGCCAGTCTTCCTCATATCGCTACAAGAGCACCAATAGTGTCCTGTGTAGCTTTGACGTCACGTATCTCATTTAGCCTTACTCGATATTGCAGAGTTCCTACATCTTATATGTGTTTTCTGCATTTTATTTAAGGACTTTTCACGTTGAATGCTTTGTAGTAACTGTTCTTGTTTTATTATAACCCTTTTTTTATAACAAAAGCTAAAACAGGAGTGTAAAATTTTAAAGGTTAATATATAACACCAAAACTTCTCTATGTCATCATCATCATCAACAGCCTTTAATAGTCCACTGCTGGAAATACGCCTCTCCTTAGAAACGTGGTTTTGGCCGAATATACCACGCTAGCCAGAAGGTTTAAGTTCTCTTTGTAGTGCTGTTGTCCTACGTAATTTGCTCTCTTAGTCGCCTCTTACGATACTCTTGGGATGAATAGGGGGTGGTGACACCCTGTATTCTTAATTCGTCACTACTACATAATACGTCTATAAGTATGAACAAAATATTAACAGTTTTGGATGTATTTGGGTATCGTCAAAATCTTCACTTATTTTTAAATGTTTTTTTTTTTGTTACGGGAAAGGGAGCAAACGAGCAGACGGGTCAACGGATGGTAAGTGGCTACCACCGCCCAACCACACCTGGAACTCGTAGAGTCACAGATTACTTTGCTGCTTTTTAAGACTTGCCCCAGTATCAGGAGGAGGGGGGGGGGGGGTTGAGGCTCCGTTAACTTCACTTACTCAGTAAAGTAACAAAAGAATTGAATTTCTTAAAACTGGTTTTCTGTGAGACCGTGGTATCACTCCGGGCGAGCCTGCTACTCTGGGTAGGAATCAAACCTACCACTTCTGGATCAGGATCTGCTAACTGCTAACGTAGTACTCGCCGAGCTAGTTTTTTTGGTTTTACCTAAACCTAGAACAAATTATGGTAAAAAAAATGCTGACATACGAAGGGGCACAACTATACAATAAACTACCATCGTACATTAAAAATGTAAACTCATTTAATGTATTCAAAACTCGATTAGCCCAATATGTACGTACATCATTCACATAACTTGACCTCGGGTAAATGAATACATTAAATTAGTACCTACCCACAATGATGTTATTTATTTATTTATTGAGTGAAATGACGAACGAACCTGTATAATACTTTAAGTTATTATTGTTCTCAAGTAAGTGACTTTGTTTTTATTGAGAATAAAGAATCTTTAATCACAACTACTACACCAACAGGCCCGTCATACGTATGTTTATTTTATGAATAAACAATTTTACTTCTTCTCAAAATAACAGTCTAACGAATTGTAACACATCCAGCCACAGCATCACATCAAAATCCAAGCCCATCAATTCCAAATCAACTATATGTATACATAAAATCTTACATAACATGCATACGTTTCACTCCAAACTGAGGCAGTACATGCAAATTGCATGAATACATAGCACCCTCTGCGTATGGTTCCCACATTGTAAATTGCTTCGGCCCGGCTGATCTAAATATTGACTGTAACCTCCCCAGCGGCACAACTTCATCGACGAGTAATTATTGATGAAATATTTCGGTTGAAACTATTTTGCATAATAATATGAGTACGTTGATCATGTGTTACATTATTGATGAGCATTCTGTGATATTGGGGGTCTAATGCCTGGTTTGTTTAGTCTAAATAATACCTGTAAACGAGGTAAATCTTATATTTTGCTTGGGAAATTTAATACATCACCTAACAGAAAACTCGTGTTAAGCAATTCTTTCAAGGAGCTTTGGAACGAGTGAGTTCACTGACGTCACTGAAGGAACACCCCCCTTCCCTCATACTCGGGAGAGGGGCGCATTCAATATGTGGCCACGTGCTTGAGATGCAGGTATCTATGGATTAAGGTAGTTACTTGCCATTATAGATATAAAGGTAGATATTATTACCATTACTGAAGCACCACATCTTCAATAAAGGCCCGTTCGTATTATCCGAGTTGGTGTTATGCTCTAGTGCCCAATAATGGAAAACGAGCCAATCGTGTCATATTGGATTTTTAACTTTTACAAATTTTAATAGGTTATAATTGCCACATATGATATGAATACACAATATCTTGACACACTCTTACCCTCAGGTGAGTACCTGAGGGTAACAGTAAAAGAAACCAGATTACGAGAGTCGTTATCTGGTTTCTTTGAAGACTTGTTTCATTTCATTGACCTGTAAAATTAGAACTGTCGTTATTCAGTCAACTCCTTTAGTTTTAAGTAGCTTTTTTCATAATTATTTACATTATTAAAAAATGATGGTTTTGTGCACTTTGTATAAACATTAAGTTTTCCATAATAAAATGATATGCTGCCGTGTGCCATATATTTGTTTAAAAAGAGGTACAAAGAGTTTTATTTGCGTATTAATATTTAGACAGAAGTAAAAAAAAACTAGTACATAACAAAACATTTACAACATTTCTTCTCGTGAGAGACGAGTGCCTGAAGTAAAATATTACTTTATAATTTATAAAATAGAAATTAAAAACACAATAATATGGTTTTCTAATAAACTGCCTTACTTTGCAATTTCATACTTACGCGTTTGAACTTAAAATTCGTAGAATAAAATAAAATAATCACACAAACCTCATCATTTATTAAACGTAACAAAATAATAATAAAATACAAACTTACCGATTCCAACAAGATTCAATAAAAACATTTCAAACATAATAATTAACAAATTAACAATTAATTTAAATAGTTCCAACACATTTTAAGACTACAAATACAATAGACACCAATATTAGAGCAAAGACAATTGAAAAACGTTCATGTCGAAGTTGAATTGTGTTCAACATTAATTAGAATGTGAGGTATTTTAGTCGATACGTGGCATAGTACTTTGTTTTCTAACCACATTCACCTTATCTCTAATGAATAAATACGACTATTTTAAATAATACTCAGTAAGAGCCGCAATCTAACAGGCTACTAGTAATCATACTTTGAAATTACAACTGATTATGATATTTATGCTGACGGCGATTTGAACATTATTTACCATCTATTTAAAAATAGACGTTAAATTTTAAACTTCTTTCAATCCCTTTATATTTATTGTAATTTTAAAGCATGACAGCTAATAAAACTCAAAAAAATGCATAATATCATTACTTCACTAGTCGTAACATTCTAGAGTATCTACAAGCCAGTTTCTAAACCTATGTAACACTCAATTTCGCATCGTATCCATAATATTTAAATACAAGCTAAAGCCAGATATTTTAATGAGATCATAGATAATACGTGCCTTATTCAAAAAATCTAAAAATGTGAAATATCGTAAATGTCTAAATTTAAATATTTCCGTTAATTCGATTATAAGAAAATCGGCTTATCTAAATATGATATCGTTGGCCTAATTACGAATAGTTCCTGATTAAAAAAATACATCTTTATTTTTTAGCGAAACTGACGTAACGAATTTATGAACATCAAATCTTTTTTGAACATATTTTATCATTAATAATTTAGTATGTATCGCCCTCGTGTATGTATCGCAGTAAAAAGTAGCTTATGTCCTTTCTCAAGAATCAAACTATTTTCATACCAAATTTCATCCAAATCGGTTCAGCGGTTTATTGATTACCTATACAAACTTCCACCCCCCTTTTCACCCTCTTAAAGAATGATTTCTGGAATAAAAACTAGCCTACGTCCTTTCCCGGGACTCTATCTCTATACCAAATGTTATCTACATCGGCTCAGCGGTTGAAGCGTGAAGAGGTAACAGACAGACCGACACATTTTCGCACTTCGTATGGATTCCTACTGCTTCTGTAATATTACGTTTTGACGTGAAATATAATTTATTCTAGGATGATGAACAGCTTTTTAACTGCGGATACTCAGTAGTTCAAAGAGGAAGGTAATAAAAATTATTTCTTCTATTTATGAAAACCAGACGTAAACTATTCAAAATCAATCAAGAATGGCTCAGAATGGAAGTTAACCCAGTTTGAAGAGGAAAGGTGCAGAATGACGCTTTTGGTAGTTATGCGTTGCCGTGTATGCTATAAACATATACCACCATTGATTCCGAATTTTATCACAAATAACCATTCGCAAGAAACTCTTCAATTGAAATTGCCGGTTACAAACAGATACAATACGTCTGGATTTGAAATACCAGCCAAAATTATCTTTAACTTCTAAACAACTTTAAGCAAATTTTAATATCGGATCACACACGTCTTAAATTAATTTCAGTTTTATCAGGTCCGTTTAAATTTCTGGATACAATAGGCTAATTATCAACATATTTAAATAAAATTAGGCCAACAATATATGCCATATTCAAATCTCACATAACATTTACCATATTAAAAATATTAAATATCATAAGATATCCTAAGTGCATTTATGTACGACTAGTTGAGTACACAAGATTCGTATGTCGGTATCAAGTATTTGATATTGATGAACGCATCGGGCCCGCCAAACCTCTCCAACATCTGCAAAGTTTCTTCAATGAGGTCGGCAACGTTTTCACCACGTGACGCCGAGTGATCGATGCCAGCGCCTAGATTACCTGTTAAATATTTTAGAAACCAATAACATATATTCTTTAAATGGAAACCTATTGGAAACTAAATTAGAAATAAATTGAAACGCGCTAAAGTGAAACAGAAAATACATTTAGGTTAATCGAGGTATACCTTCGTATTTCTTTGATCTATCGTGTGTTGCCTTTGATGTCGTCTAGAGCCTATCCGAAACTGTGAGAGCCAGTGAACATGAGCTCAAACTTGTACTAAATACGAACTTATACCTAATCATTGACCTATTTTATAAATGTTAATAATTAAAAATGAAATAACTGATCATTTTCAGCTCGCTGATTTTAGTGTCTATTAGACCGTGAAAAAACACTTAACTTTTAATCGAGGGTAAAAGAAAACATCACAAGTTTTTCTTTTTAATCATATTCAGTATCTGAAATTTGTTAACTTTAAAATAAAATCTACATTTAATCCTACAATTAAAAGAAAACATTATTTATTATTGCATTTATAATAAAACACCTCGGCGAAATACAATCTGAATATTAGGTATTTACTTATATCATTCAAAACTGTCAGTATGAATATATTCAAACGTAACCACTGTTGTCTACTAACACATAAATTAATAAGAAAGTAAGTATCAGAAACCTGTATTACCGAAGATTGCAATTTAACATTACTAGTAATAGTAGATATAGTTATCTACTTATGCATTTATTTCATCAACAGCCTTTCACAGTCCACTTCTGGACATAAGCCTCTCCTTAGAAAGGAGGTTTTGGCCTACTATAAAACGCTGGCCAGACGGGTTGGTATACTCGTAGGGTTTGTGTCAAGTTTTACTTCTCTCTGCAGTGCTGTTGTTCTGCGTAGTTTTTTTCTCTTAGTCGGCTTTTATGACTCCCACGGGATGAATAGGGGTGATGACTTTCTGTATTCTTAATCGGTCACCATACGGACGATGCATTTATTTATCACCACCTAATTAGTATAAGCAATAATTTTTTTTAACTTAAAAAGGACAAGAGTAAATGTTAAAAAAATAAAGCGTCTATTATTTTCTTCTTTCACATTTTTTAAACAGCACGTCCAATTTTTCTCTCAAAATTCAAAACCTAATTACGCAACGGAGACTACACCAGATTTGCGTCATCAATCATGCTCACCTAATTGACACGTGAAGTGCGAGCGAGGAAGATATTGTTTTCAACCTAATAGACTTGTCGGGGCATCCGAGTAGATTAATTACATGTGGCGTGAAATTTCGGCTGTTTTCGGCTGTACGGGTGTTCGCGTGTGACGGCCGGGCTCACCGCCAGTTGACACCAATACCGCATTGTTACTGAGTTCCTCGCAGGCTTTTTGTTACCGTTTCACACCGGCGACTACATGTTTGGTTTGCGTTCACGTTACGTTGTTGACACTTTCAGAGTGTTAATAACGACATCATGATAATTAATTATTTTGGAACATAAAGCAATTAAAAGTACAAGTTGGGCAGTTAGTATTTTACTTTTTGATGTATAAAATCATTCTTCTGGTGTTCCTGAAATCTGTGGGAGTAATTTTGTGAAAAGAAACAGAAGTGACATAAGAACCCGGAGAATCTTGCAGTATTTGATGAGATCGATGAGCATGTGCGATCTTAGAGTAGGCTATCAGAGAGCCTAGTAGACATGGAAGTTATTGCTACTTTTCATCATATCTATTTGATGATAGATTGTGATTGGTCACTGTGATTTCACCTGTGATTAATCACTACTTAGGTTTGGTCAAAGATAAATATTTATGCCATAAAAATCAATCAAACTGACCTTCTTTTTTAAATTTAGTCCTTCCGCGTGTCTGGCGCCTAGCGTAATAATAATAATTAGTCGCCGGATGTTATAGATGTGTCACAGGTGTTATGAAATCATTATAAAATCATATAATTCCACACATGTGATTGTGATTTTATCCCATGCCTAGAGCCTAGTGTGAGTTTAATTCACATCAACTCGCTCCCGACGGCGAGCGCGTTTGGCATTTCGATTGGTGCAGATGTCAGCGCGGGCCAATAGCGACGACGAAGACGGTTACAGTGACGACCAGTGCAACTCACATTAGGCCCGCTGATTGTAGGTGAGTGAATAATATACGACTACTGTAAAGCTTGTAGGGTGCAATGAGGCAGTTTAAAACGTTAAAGTCAGATTACATACATTCGTCAGTTCAATAGATGCTATTCCTAACTACTTTTAAGCGTACGTACCTAATGGTACCCGGGATTCAGGGTAAACACAGAGACAACAGACATACAACTTCCAATGTTGTTTCTTTTTCATTTAGTTGTTCCAACTAATACGAAAATGTCTTTACAGGAGTAATTATAGTTTACGACAATTTCCAGCGCGTAATTAAAGTCGCAACGACAAATTAAATCGCGTGTTTGTTCGTCAACTTTCCTCTCGTCGCCAAATAGTTGTGGTTGAGGCGCGTCGGTTTGCGTCTCACTGTCTACCTGAGGCTAATGTTCTGTAAACTGTTAGTCATTATCCTAGTAGCTCTGGTTTCGACAAATATATGAGCTGAAAGGTTCAAATTGTGGTTTTCTCTGCTTTGTTGTATATTGTCGAAACATTTACGCGATGTGTGCGGGTATTTTAATTGGATGTTTGTTTTTTTAGTGTGATGGCTTAAACATGATTTTTGTTTAGCATTAATTAAATATTACAATAATTAAATTAGCATACGAATGACGTTTTCAAAGTCAACAAATATAATGTGATAAAATTTGATATTAGCGGATAAGAGTGACGAGTATATTTATATATTTTTTTATTACGAAAATAATAATTTCAAGCTTGCCAAATTTCAATATCACACTTAAGTGTATACATAGTATATATATATAAATACAACTAAATATTTCAATTTGTTTGTGTTGTATGTTGGTAATAAATGTTGTAATTTCTAACAGGAAGTCCTTGTAAATTTGTTAATATTTACTTCATGAAAGCAAATTATTTTGAATAAAATTTGTTTTTGTGATTTGTGTTCTAGTAAAATCATATAAATATAATTATGTAAATAATAGATTCTAAATTTTAGTAATTTCGTACATATCACTAGTTGTTGCCTACGGCTTCCCTTGCATTATGATCCATATTTTCGGAATAAAAAGCCTAGCCTATTTGCTATCTCAGACTATAATAATCTATCCATCCAAAATTTTGGATTTATTGTAGTTTTAACATTTTAAATGCTCCTAACTGCACAATTCCAATTAGAGGAACAAGCGAAAGTTTTAAACCACATTACCGGTATCGAGAAAACAAAATGCAGTAGCTTCCTGTCACGGCGGCGGTAACAGAATTTGTTACATTTTTAAGCTATTGCATAGCTTCTATCGCGGGCCTTGAGCGTGGAGACCGAATCCAGAAATACCGTAACGAAAATAACCTAACACTCGCCACTCCGACAGGCACAGCGATGATACTTTTTAGTTTTGCCATCTATCGATGAATAGCAGAACTTTTAATGACTTTTTTGAAATATCACGCTTGTCTCTTTAGTTCAGCAACTCGCCTCTATTTGGCATTGGTTGTGACGTGGTATTTGCCAGATATTTAGAAGATATCAAGTCTCAAACTTATGTTTCCTATTTCAGTTACCATAAACCAATAGTTTCAATGATAAATATTCCTGAATAGCCTACATGTATTGTAAGATAATAAAAATATTTTGAACAATATTAACTTCTCATTTATTTAATAAAAGATAAAAAAATGTTCACCACGCTCAAAAAGTGTAACTTGAATTTATATCAAAAGAAAAAAAACAAAGGAAAAAAAATACTGAATAAATAAAATAAATAAATAATTATAATTGCATAAGTTGATAAAAAATGCTATGCAATAGCTTTACCGCGGCAGGCCCGGGTGCCACACGTCTTTTTTCTATTAATTTCCATAGTCATAAAATATATTATAACTTACGGTTTTTATCCTTGAAAAGGTTGAGCGTAGGCAGTATCTGTCTGTAGTAAGGCACAAGGGCTTCACCGACACGGTCACATCCGGACACTAACATCTGGATGCACCTGAGCGCGTGGCAGAGGACGTGCGGATGTTTTGTCGCTAACGCATCTGTGAATGGTGATCATTTGATTACATCTCATACACATAATCGTATATATTTTATCTATAATATGTGTAATATAAATAATATTTTTTTTTAGAAACTAAACAGTTTTTAATGTCTCGAAATACCTTTTAACTATAGGTACATGTTTTAAAACCATTTGTAAATTCAAAATTATACCTTATATGTGGGAGGCTTTATCCTTTGAAAAAAGGCATCCTTAACCCCCTCTTGCCCGAAATCTTGGGCATTCCCAAAATACGTTAGTGAATCAACGTCTGCTTTAAAGACTCAGATTCCCAGATTAAAATTTAGCAGCTGTCTTTTGTTCTATGTGATGAACGCAGAAACTTATAATCGGACTTGGATGTAAGCAATTTATGCTACGACTTGAAGTATTAGTTCTAAACAATTATTGTTGGAAAACGTTTGTCCTTAGGAATTTACATTAAATAACTTTGAATTGTGATTACTTGCCAACGAATTGCTGGCTTACGAATTAATTTATTACTAACACTACTTATATTTAAAAGCCTGTATTGTCATGCGCAACATCAACCTTTATCGAAGAATACATTGAACAATCGGGGTTATAATAATCCGGAACCATGAAGTTAATTCTAATCGGCTTTTCATGATAAACTTATATGTGTTCGATTCAATCTAATTGAAATCAAATAATTATTTAAAAATATTGAACATGGATATAACACTAAAAAATCTTATTATTTAATAAAGGTCCAATAACAAATGTTTTCATATGTCTCCTCACATAAAATCATTTTTTTCTTTCTTTATACTTGAGAAAAAAAACCATAAAATAATTAAAAAAAAATGGAAAACAAAATGAAATCGACTTTTTTTGAATCAACTTTTTTTTTAAATTACATTAACTAAAAGCACTGGATGCTGTAGCAGTATTTAAGGGAGGTAAATATTTAAATCATTGCGGGACCATTGCAGTCAATGGTGCTAATTCTGTCGTTCGAAAACTCTCTAAACTAAACTAAAAATCACTAAAAAATAATTTAGTCCCGTCAAGTACTACTTTTTCAGAATACGAAACGTTGTTTGGACAGGACTAAACTATTTTTTTATGATTTTAGTTTAGTTTAAAGAGTTTTCCAACAACAAAATTAGCACCAATGTAGGTGGATTAAATGCTAATAGTGTTACTTTTTTCAACAGCAAGAAATAGCATTCACATTTACGAATTAATATTAAATAAATAATTCACATCCAACATCATTCACCATTCAAATTCACAACACGATATAACCAAAGTTAGCATGATGAAATGCAATTTAATATTATTTACCATCTACATATAGACTCTTACCCTTTAGAAACATTTCAATTTGTGCAAAATCATTTAACATTCAGCGTTTAAACGCTCCTTTCACAAAGTAAACGGATTTGTAACTAAGTAGAAACATGCATTTAATATCTGAAGAAAGCCCTTTGATGTAAAGAAAAATATAAGCTTTGATAAAATAGAAACAAAACTGATTAAATAAGCCCTAGCAACGAGATATTAAGAGTTAATACAGACTGCAAAATGCAGGATGAAAAATGTAACGTCGTCGTTGGTGTACTGTATGAAGAAGCTCTGGAAATTACTCCTACGGTTGGCAGTGAAGCACTTTATGGCGATGAAAATGCTTATATGAGTTATTACCTAGTTAGCTTTTATACTACATAACATAAAGGATTACTAGTAAAATAGATTATTATTATTACTATATGTACTTAAATACTAGACTTATTAAATCGAAGTAAATATTAACTAAAACTACAATATTATAATGTATTAAGTATTCACTTGTCCGTGTGGTGACGGATTAAGAATACAGAGTATCACCACCTCTATTCATCCCGTGGGTGTCGTAAGAGCCGACTAAAGGAGCAAACAACGCAAAAAAACAGCACTGCAGAGAGAAAGAAAACTTGACACAAACCCTATACCAACCCGTCTTGCCAGCGTGGTATAGTAGGCCTAAACCTCTTTTCTAAAAAGTGGCTTATGTTCAGCAGTGGCCTATTAAAGGCTGTTGATGTGATGTGAAGTATTCACTTCATTTAAATAGAAATGTTTTCAGCAGAAAAAAGGACAAGTTGATGGTGTAATTTTTTATATTTATACGACTAAGATTGCTATTTTAAATATGTTTTTAGTAGCCTCAGTTTTCACGCAGAAAATAAAATTCCTTTTAAACAAAGAGATAAAATTTATAAACATTTCAGAGGATTATTTAGTCCCAGAGTTGATAACTGTACAAACAGCGAATACTGTACTGAATTAATAATAGTTTTTTCTCTGGTGTATGTATATAAATTTTCTAATTTTAATAACTTACTTTTAATAGGAATGATCAGCTGTGGCACCACCGGCAGCACTTTGTAGGAACCCTTGATGATTAGATCATTGATACCCTTCTCAACAATGAAGTTATAAGGGTAATCAAATTCAGACAGACCGTCAAAGAACATTGGGAGGTAGTGATGGAAGTCCAGCTTCTCTATTGGCACCTGATTAAAATAAAAACTAAATTAGTTTTTTTTTAAGTGTTACTTATTAATTTAAGTAAAGATATTGATTTGGTTTTATAATCTAATTATAAATAAGACAAATAGTACATTTCAAGGCGTGGTGATCTGGTGGTTATAACTTCTGAGTCAGAGGTTGCGGAGGTTCGATATCCATCCGGGACAAATAATAGTAGCTTAACGTATGCATTCCGCACAAATGCGTGCAATTGTCGTTTGTTCTGTCGTTAACTGTATCTAATCAGATACTTTTCGTGAGGTTCATTAAAACTTATTGTGTCATAATACACAGTCTCATACCATACCATCAAGGTGTTAAGCAATTCTTTCTTTGCCTTTCACTGAGTGAGTGAGGTTACCGGACCTCCCGCTGACTCGAGCGAGAGGGACTCCAAGGGCAGCAACGCACTTGTGACTTTTGAGTTTTAGATGTCCATGGGCGGCGGTAGTTTTTTGCCATCAGGTGAGCCGTCTGCTCGTTTGCCCCCTTATACCATAAAAAAAAAGTAATTCTTACAAAATTTGTAGCATTCTCAAAACCTTGCATAATTTTTTACCATTATAAACCTTACCACAGTTTGGAATTATATTTCCATAATATTAAATAATAAGCTTACTTTAATTGATCATGAATTCATATTGCTTTGAAATTGATCACCTTCCAAGCCAGTTTCTTGCCACAATTGGTAAACTCGACACCGACGGGAAACTCGCCTCGCTGGTAGCACTTTCTGAACATAGACGGCTTCAATGGAAGAGGATCATATACGCCGCACTTTGGAGGTGGAATCACTACAGTGTTCTTTTGCATTGCTGAAACAAAAATATTATGAAGTCTAGGTGTAGAAAGAGATAGATATAATGTATATTGTGATCAACTGGATACTACAAGACATGTATACACGATAAAAGAGATATTGTTTTAAGACAAAATTGGTGTTGTTTTTGTGGCAATTTTATGATAATTAACATGTATAGGTATACCTTTATATTATTATCGATAATGCTTTCTATTATATAATAAATTCGACGAATATCAAACGGTTCTCTTAGCCACTAAGATAATAAATAAATAAATAGTAACGTTACACATTTCGCAAACGGCTATCTGAGCCCAAACTAGGCAGAGCTTGTGCGGTTAAAACCAGCCTGCTGATAAACATACTTATATATTTCTAAATACATACAAATTGTAGATACAAACAAATAATCGTGTTCATCACACAATATTTGTCCTGGGTGGGAATCGAATTCACGACCTCTTGCTGAGCAGTAATGATCACCAACTTCTAAATCAACATTTTAATGTGAAATAATTATCTATTAAACTGTTTGCGTGTTGACCGAGTGTCACCACCCCTATTTATCCCGTGGGTGTCGTAAGAGCCGACTAAGGGAGCAAACTATGCAGGTCTAAGGAAGCTACGCAGAAAGACAGCAATGCAAAGAGACGGAAAACTTGAAACAAACCCTATATCAACCCTGGTCTGGTCAGCGTGGTGTAGTAGGCCAAAACCTCCTTTCTAAGAAGAGGTCTATGTCCAGCAGTGGACTATTAAAGGCTGTTGATGATAATGATATTAAATTGTAATATATATATTAAAAATCGATACTTAAGAGAATCCTGAGTCTATAGATATTCAGAAGAAAACTTTTTTCTATTTTCTAGACTAAAAACATGTTCTGGCTCAAATTTATTCGCTCATAAATTATAGACGACAAAATCTTATTATATGAGTGTGCTCAGAGTAAAAATGATATCTGATTTACCCCTTTACTTGAATAAAGTCAGATGTTATCGTGTCAGAAGGGTTTCCTTGTAAAAATACTTCTGGTTATCTCAGTGCAAGGCGCCTAATCAGATACTGGTTGTAAGACTGTTTGAAAATTATTTCATTCATTTCCTTTAAGACTTAAAAGGTGTATAGGGATTTGAATTCGTCCCCCAAGACTGTGCCTGATGCTGATGTGTATCATGACAGGGAGAACCAGTTTCGTGTAAAAATATGTGAATCATTTGGCAAACCTCGAAATAAAAACTGATAAGTATGTACTGATCGTTACTGCAACCACTAAACTCACCAGACCAATATTGTTAAGTTAAGTTTGTAATACGTATATATCAATGTGATTTTGTTAATATGTTGTCTAAACTGTGAATGCTGTGTTAGCTCGTAAGTGGCATGTTTATCAGACCATTTTTACTTAGATTTTACCATAAATGCTGCCAAATGTGCTGTGACTTAACCTAATTAATAAATAAAAGGTGGAGGTGAGCTATTTATCCTGTTGGGATATTATTATTATTTTTTTTGAAAAATCCATATAATATTTTGTAATTTAAATGGGATTTAGTGCTAGGGTTACAGAGTCAGAAACGAAAAATGTTATAACTAAAATTGAGATTTAAAAAATCTTCGCAATCACAGTAATTGTATTAGTTATTGATTAAATAGCAAACCAAATACTATCAAAATACAACTTGGTTAAGTTCCAAGCTCTCTTTCCCTTCAAATAAGGTAGTACTGCCAGACTGAACGTAATAAAACGGGGTTACTTAAAGGGATTTAAAGGGTCGTTGTGTGTTTACTGAGCTGCTTTCAACATTCCTTCTCTTTTTATGTTTTACATGACTAGCAACATGAATATTGCAGCTTTTATCAAAATATAAGTAAACCAGTAGCTGTATCCATCCAATCGGACGGATCTCCTGGTGGTATATGATGCTGTCCAAGTTAACCAACTCAAGAACGTTGCCGCCTTTTTAAATTAATCCCTCTCCGCTAATGTTTAGTTAGGAGGCCCAATATCCCTTGGTTGAGCCTCCGGTTTCACTATTTTCTCTATAATTTATTTATTTAAAACTTAATGCATATGTTGTACAAAGGCGGACTTAATGAAATTAGGCATTCTCTCCCAGTCAACCTTCAGGTGACGTATAAATACGAGTATGATGCGGTAGGTGCAAAATAAAATATTAAATTTAACATAATTGAAGTCCAGAGACACACACAATATATAAACACACATACATAAGTAAACATACATTCATAAACCTACATACATTCAATATAGTAAGATTATTAATCATAAATAGATTTAGTATTTTTACCTATAGTGATGTCTATAATGGTGTGGTTTTTAACTAATTCTGGTGAAAGAATATGACAACAATAATAGAAGCGTTACAGTACCTTGGATTGTGAATGCGGGTACCACCCGCGGTTTTTTCGTCTTGTGGCCATAAGGATAGTTGGGGCTTGGTTTCTTTAGTGAGTTCCGAAAATCTTTCCCACACTGCTGAACAGTACACGGCGGCAACAAAACCATTGTGATTAATAAAATATATCAAAAAACCATACCACGACAAGTAAATAATCTAATAATATCGATCTAAAATGTTGACACAAGTAATAAAATAACTAAGTAAATTTGTTCTAGACGGGGCTCTGATTGTTTATTTTGCAACATGATCGTTGCTAGGCAACGGATTCTATCGATTGGTCGACAGTAGCGCCGTGCGCGGTTCGGACTGGAGTTGTATGTGTACACAGGGAGCTTTATTGCGTACGTGCCCGTCGACACAGTCTTAATTTGTTGACATAGATCGAGGGCACTCGGGATATTGTTTTATGATCGTTTACTTTTAAAGACAAGTATGTTGTATTATTTGCTGTTATGTAACTAAGTAGCTTTAGTAGCTAGATCAGTTCAAAATAAAATTTTGGTAGTATTTTCAATCTGTTTTATGCTATATACGTAAGGAAATAAAGATTATTTTGAATTGTAACCACCTCGATGGTGAGATTTATCAACAGATCGCTGTAAACCACCACTTCTAGTAGAGTTGCCAAATACGTCGTGTAAATCAAATTCATGATAAAAAAATAATTAATTTACTTATTATTCGGTCTAACAGAAGTCCAAATATAATGTCAATCATAAAAAACAATATTCAAATGAAAATCAAATTTAGCGGCGTATGTATGTACATGCGTTAGACTCGGTCCACGCCACAGAATTATATTATCAATGTAGAATTTTATTACATTTTAATATGAGGTATTTCCACAATGTCTCTATTGAAGGCAAATTCTTTTGAATTTCGATCGGCACTTTCTTTTATATGAATCACGGGAAAATGCTCTTTGATTTGTTGTATTGAAAACTTTAGGGATTTCGCAATAACTTGCCGAGTGATCGAATAAATTGTAACCGAACATTCAATTTTGTGTCAATACTTTTTAGATTCACGTGGATAAATAGCTTGTAATTATTTCTTTTAATCTAAATAATTTTACTTTTCCAATTCTTACAAGGTTTTTATAACTTTTTTTTTATAAATCCAGCAATCGGTCGACTTATAACGAATTTATAGATACTAGTGTTATAAAGCTGAAGAGCTTGCTTGTTTGTTTGGTTAAACGCACAAATCTCAGGAACTGCTGATCCGAATTTGGAAAAATCTTTTAGTGTTGGATCGCCCATTTATCGAGGAAGGATGATCACCTACCACAATAAATAAATAATATATTTTGTCATGTTTTTGAATAATTTTTATTATTATGAAAATAATGCAGAAACATGCCAATTTTCTTGCTTTTATAAGACGCAGACGAAGTTGAGCGGGGCAGTTAGTAGAAGGTATAGTGTTTATATTCATAATATCTTTTATTATACAATACGGATATCTCTCTCTCTCTCTCTCTCTCAATTTAAGAGCTAAGCCCTTGTCGGTGGAGCAATCGCCACTCTTCTCTATTTCCTGCACGTATTTCCTTCACGTGTAAGTGAAGGAGAAAGCGGGAGTCATGAGTCCGACTTCCTCCTTCACCTGATTTATGTATGTTGATCTAGGCCGTTTTCGTTTTGCCTTGCCTTCTATTTTTCCTTCCAGTATTATTCTGCAGAAGTTGTCGTGTCTTATCAAGTGGCCAACTATTTTGCGAATGAACTTACCAAGTAACCCACGGACCCATTTATAGAGAACCGGCGAAAGAAACGATAGAAGTTAATAATATAATAAAAAGCATGTTACGCATACAACATATATCTTGCCGTTTTTTCTAGTCACGGTCGTATTTAAAAGTAGAACAAATGCTATTTTAAAATCACTGATAAGACTGGCCGTACTTTCTAATTCAATAAGAAAATCAGTAGGCAGAAGCCATCAATGGCATGGTTTGGGCTTGGCTTTGATCAGTACTTTACAGTTAAAGTTGAATACGTTGAATAAAGCCAGATTAGGGTCACCATAGGTCGATTAATCAAGATTTTTTTTTTTTTATAAAACAAATGTTATTTTTAGTTGGCTGCTGCATTAAACTCGCCAGCTGCTGTGTCAACTATGTAAAATTAGTGTTGTCCCCTTTTTCACTATTCATATAATATACACATACATATATGGATACAAACGTACGTGTGGTATATCGGAAACAGGGGGTACAGAGGAGGGCATCATCTTACGTATTGGTCCGAGCTGCCTTCGCACAGCTCCGGCCCATGTGGCAGTCACAAAAACTGACTCGAAGATCAAAATCAAAGAATTCGGATCAAACGTAAACTCGGTACTACTATAAGGGTGCAAAACGCACCAGGTCAAAAAAGCGATCTCGAACCGGCTCCAAGTCTTCGTTAACAGCTGCCTCCACCGAATTCTCTTGGTATACTGGCCCGAGAAGATATTCAATGAAGACCTGGATGATATCGCCAAACAAGCACTGGATTGCAACCCGTAAGGAAAACGAAAGTGTGTGTCGCAGAAGTGCGAAGCTCAGGACCGAACGCAATAGAGGACTACTGTCGACGCCCTCTACCCCATCTCGGGGACTAAGTATATTAAGTGAATGAATTTTATTATTTTTTATTTTAAAGAACAACATGTTATGAATGACATTATATTGTTATATTACTGTAAAGTTTCATAAAATTCTGCTTTATGCTGTCAGTAAGAAATATCAATAAACACCTATCCTTTTTCAGTTTTCCAATTTATAAATAAAGTAATAGTTTTGAATTTCCAGCTTTATAATAACAGCAGAATAAAACTATCCTCGCAAGTCCTTTGGTGTTATAAAAAGGACACACAATTTAGGCTACTCAGGTCAGACCTGATATTTTGAGCCCTTATCTAGAAGTAACCTTTACCTACTGTTTTACAATATTGTGATTGTAAGATGATAGAATCAAACACATAGTTTGTTATATTTTATACTTTAAAGGTGACTACTAAAACATTATTGTCATACATTATCACGACTTACAAGGATGTACAAAAGCTGTAAAATATTAGTGAATCCTAAGGATCCTGTGATTCTTATTTATATCGGTCGAACAGAAATCTTTGAAGAACTAAAACAGTACGCCTACATACACAAACAATTCACTTATTTTAAATCTTTTTAACGGTAAAATACAAACAAATACTAAATTATCTATATCATAAATTCCAAACTACTTAAAACGCTCTTCGCAGTTACTACACGCAACTGTCACCTAACCCCGTCTTATATTGACATTAACCGTATTACGATCTCTTAAATCAACCTCTGCACCCGCCATCAAATCGGTTATTTTACTAGCCTGTATGTTCCCCGGCTTTGAACAGAGATTTCCCGCCAAATTGAATGTCGGATGACACAAGCGTTCAATATTTAAAATTTAATATTGCATCAGCTGCCAGTGGCATTATGAAAATTTTTATGCCGTGAGTTTACAAGGAACCTACGTGGTGGTAGTTTAATGAGGTCAGACCTAAACTGCTTAAGTTCTAGGACTATGAGAAGATTTGATATTAAAATGATGTTTTATGCTTCGGTTATTTTCTTTCCAAGCAAATACTACATATTGAACTAAAGGCATGTAAAGTTAGGTTCGAAGTCATTAATAAAATTATGTCCTAATACTAGTGATCATTAGAACTAAGGCAGAGAACTGTTACTAGAAATATTGAATTTACTTTTATCCAACTATAAATTTATACTATCAAATAATATACAGCAGAATTAGAACCTCATACTTCGATAAAAGTCTACTTATACAATGATTATATAAATCTCATTAGATATTATGTAAAAAATATTTATAAAAATAAAAAAGTTGTCCTACTGTGTTAATGTATAACTATTATTATAATTACTACATAAATGACTTCTAGTCATTGTCTAAATATTGAAAATGTAGTGATGATGATGATAATATTTATTGCACTAATAATAATAACCTCACACATCACACACACGGCTGTCTGATTCCAAACTAGGCAGAGCCTGTACTATGGTAACCAGACCGCTGATAAACATACTTATATATTTCTAAATACACACATAGTATAGATAAATTACGCCCAGACACAGAACAAACGATCGTGCTCATCACACAAATATTTGTCCTGAGTGGGAATCGAACCCACGACCTCCTGTTTAGCAGTCAGGGTCACCAACCACTAAACCAACAGCTACTATTTAATCCAAAGAAGTTAATCGAGAGTTTTTACGTATGTTTGTAAACCATAGTTCACTCATTACCTCCTATAATCTTTTAATGTACAAGGTTTATGCTAATATTAATTCCAATTGTTGAGTTATATTTTATTTTTTTGTAAAATACTTTACATCTAATTCAAGCAAGACAATAAATAAAACTCTTAATTAGGTAACTACCAAAGATTCCAATCGTTTTTGATCTCATGGCTTCGGAACAATTACACTTAAGTAAATGAACAGACTAGACGCTTTAGCCCATTTTCTTAATTTGAAAGAATCAACGAAGTGCATTTAGAGAGACCGTTGTAGTTTTAGTACTCTCTTTATTAACTCTTTAAAACGTAAATATATACAGATAAGTCTTAATTATAAACCAAAATTAGTAGATAACATAGCTTGTAAAATAATTAGAGGTAGATTTTTCTGATCGCTAAAGGCGATCTCGTTCAGGATCTAACTTGTTGTTGTTCATTAAAAAAAATCTAAGAACGGTATTGTTTGATTAGGAAGATACTGTATGCCTATCTTATTCAACTAGGTTTCATTGTGTCTATATCTACAATATTGTTTTTATTTAGAACAATTATTATTTTAAAAAGTCTGTAGACTGACTGTCCCTAGCTGTGCAAAAATAATAGTATTAAGCTTTCTCTCTGGAACATTTTATCTGCTAATTTAAAGGACCGTTGAATGACTCAGATAATTTCTTTTTCTTTCTTAGTGAAAATCTTCGGGAACAAAATTTAAATCGTACAATGTCTCTAAAACATCTGATACCGGCTTTGGGAAAATGCAAGCCAGTTTACACTACGTGAGTTGTTTAGTAATAAAAATGGCCAACTTCTA